TATTTCAAATATTTGGTGGAGCTTTTAATGAGAGAGAGAGAGACTCTCTCGAGTGTGGAAGAAAAAAATGAGGGGGTGTGAGGATGAGGTGACTTTAGGACAGAAAAAAAAAGACGAGGAAGCCACGTAAACGTTTTTGAGTAGGCGTGAGGCGATGTCAGTCTTCAACCCTCTTATGTTAGATAAAGACGGCAGCCCTCTTCTAGCACAAACACCGTTTCCCACATTGAGGAAATCACAGGGATCAGCAACTCTAGAGTGCGACGAAGAAGCTTCATTCTGGGAGAACCCCCTTAGTGACCGCGGTCTCTACCCTGCCAGGTAAGTGGGAATGAGCGCAGGCCCTGCAGAGACAGCACAGCCTCCTCGCCCTGGCCGGACGCTCAGGGTCACCATCCTCCCCACTGCCACCCCTCGCCATTCTTCCAAACCACTCTCCGCCAAAGATTCCACCGACAGTCACCCCACACGACAACCCAGGCCGCCTTTCAGCAGCGGCTCCCGCCCCGCAGCCACCGCGCCCTGTCACTCCCAAGGTTCTACCTGCCGCCTCTGCCCAGTTTGTGCACTTCACCTCCCTGGCTCCCGCTCTCCCCTGAGCTTACAGTGGACGCGGGGTTCTTCCGAACCCCTCTTGGGGTACTGAATGGAAAATGGGGAGCGTGCGCAAGTGCTTGGTAGAGTGTAGACACTGTGGGATTTGACTGTGGTACCATCGCTTTGACGTCCTAGTGCTGATTTTCACACCTGCCTTCCGCTTAGGGCACTGGCAACAGTTTTCCATTTGTGCCTACTCTACCTGCTGTCTTTGTTGGCTCAGGAAACATCGCCTCCCTCTGCCGCTCAATCAGCAAACGGGACCACCCTCGAGGACCTCACCTGCCGCTCACCCACCTCCCAACTTCGCCGGCATCGCCTCCAGTCACCTCTTCCGACGGCCTAACGAGCATGTTAGCTGCGAAGGGAGGTGAGGAGGCTCAGCTGACTGGCTCGTGCCCATGTCCAGGGTACGCACAAACAACACAACTTGCTTGGCCTCTCTCTTAGTTATTCACAGCTCAGCCCCATAGGTGCCTCCGGGGCGGCGACGGCAAAGAGGATGGCCTTATTGGGTACAACTTCATGGGGGCTGGCACCTCTGCAGGGCTGTGTACACCTGAGCCAGACGCTCAGGGGCTCTCTAAAGCTTCTTCAGCGGATGACAGACACGGAGATAAACGTGAGAGATGGTCCACCAGGACTTGCCCTCCTTCGCTTGGGTTTGCCCCTCGCTGCGGAGACTGTTCTGCATCTGGCCCTTGGAGCAGACCGGCTGACAGTGTAGTAAAGAAAGATTCCTGTGGGAGTGCGCCCAGTGCAAAACAATTCCCTGACCGGGAATCGAACCCGGGCCGCGGCGGTGAAAGCGCCGAATCCTAGCCACTAGACCACCAGGGAGATACGAAAGGGTGCTTTCTCTCTCTCCTTCCGTCTGAGGCGACAATTCCCCTGTGCTCTGGGAGGACGTGGGCCTTGTAAGGGTCACTCTTTGCTCCTGGAGTCGTCTCACAAGGCCCTTCCCTCCCTACTTTCTTCAAAACAAAGAGCCTGCAGGCGACACACCGAGGGCTCCGCGAGGGACACCAAGGCCAGGAGTCCCGGGTCCTGGAGTGAGTTGCAGCGATCCGGCCGCAGCTCACCACTGGCCTAAAGATCTGCCTTTGTGAGGCGGCAGCGAATGACAAGACGGTCGCGGGTCGCCAGGTCTGGAGTCGCGCACCAGGTTGCCAGGAGGAGGCGGGAGCGGGGAGGGGCCTGGGGTGAGACGGGGATTCCCTCTGCATCATAAAGGACCCAGACCCCAGCACCCTCAACATCATAAGGAATCAGATGGATGCGGAAACCGAGACGGGCTGCATGGGAAACTCTCTCCAGGAAGGCTCCGGGGCCCTCAACTGGTCTCCGACCTTCCCCTGCAACCTGTGACACCTGCCATTTTCCTATTTTAGGCGATGGCAACGCCACCCTTCCGTTTGCTCCGGACAAAACTTCGAGAGTTCCCTCTGACCCTGGAGTTTTTCCCTCAGATCCAAAATCCAATTGGTCACCAACTCGTGATTTACCATCGGCCAAGTGCGTGGGCATTGATCTACACGCAAGTTTCTCCACCTCCGCGGAATGGCTACTTCGGGATGGGGGAGGGGCCCTCTCGCGATGAATTGTAAGGTACTTAGCAGCATCGGTCGCCTCCGCTGACTAGATACATGCCAGGGGGTTAACATTCTCCCTCCCGCTTCCCCCAGTCGTGGCCTAGCGTCCCAGCGGGGATGGGACAGGCGTGTGAGAGCGAAGTTGCCCCCTGTGGGGAACCATTGCTGCGCGTTGTCCTGCTCTCTGAACTTGTGCAGAGGACCCTCCAGGTGAAGACTCAAGGGTCGATCCAGCTCAAGACACCCTCGCTCCCCCTCACAGTCAGAACTTAGGATTTAGGCTTTAACATCTTGACATCATGAGATTCTAAACCTTTAGGTCCTCCAAATTGGCCTTTTCCGAGCCTGTTGACCAGGACCAGCCAGGCAGAGGGCTGGGTTCGCTCAACGAGTCTCCTCTCGCCCCTCCTGGAGCTTCAGGCTTCTTTCGGTTGCAGAGAAGCTTTATGGGCCACTTCCTTCAGCACCCCCGGGGGCAGGTGCGCGGTGCGCAGGGAAGAAGAGGGTTTGGCTGCCGTTTGCAAACCCCAGCGCCCAATCTCCACCCCGGTGCGAGCACTCTTCCAGGCTCCTGCTGGTCCCACTCGCCGGGAGTTAGGTCTCAGGTCAGCCTGAGCTCTCGTGACGCCCAGGCCCGGAAGGAAGCGTAGGGGAAACCAGCTGCTCACTTCGGTCCTGTCTGGAAGGGATCCCTTGCTGACGCGAAAGAAAGGCGGCGAGTCCTGTCCTGTTGGGTAGGCGGAAGAGAGATCAAAGGGAAGACAAGAAACATCCTGTGAGGTTTCAGGATCTAAAGTTACCATGAAGTCGACCTAACCTCCTCTGGAGGTCCTCCCGGTCCTCCCGTGGCTGGAGAAGGTGAATCGAGTTTCCGTCTCCAGTTTGCCGAGGCGGACAAAGCCGACGACAATGGGCCTGTCCACTGCCTTCTTTCATATGCACAAAATGTCAGCTCTTCCTGTTTCTAACTTACAACATCCCACCTGATGACCAGCTTAGCAAATTAGAGACCCTCCATGGGATTCCATCTCTGTCTTAGTTCGGGTTTCTATAACAACGTACCATAAACTGGGTGGCTAATTCACAACAGAAATTTATTTCTCACAGTTCTGGAGGTTGGAAGTCCGAGATCAAGGTGCCAACACGGTAGGGTTATGGTGAGGGACTTTCTTTTTTCTGGTTGTGGACTGCCACCTTCTCATTGTATCCTCAGGGGGCAGAAAGAGGGCGAGAGAGCTCCCCGGGGTCCCTTTTATAAGGGCATTAGTCCCATTCAGACTAATGGGACTAAATCCAGGCTCTGTGCTGAGTGTTGTGGATTTTTTGCATGTTCATCCTCCCCGCAGACAACTGGAGATGTATTGTCCCCAGAGGGTACAATAGAGAATCTTCGGTCACAAGTCAGCAACCAGTCTAGTGAGTGAGTGCATGTGTCCAACTCTGAAATGAGAGTGTATTAGTCCGTTTCCACGCTGCTGACAAAAACATGCCAGAGTCTGGGAAGAAAAAGAGGTTTAATTGGACTTACATTTCCACATGGCTGGGGATGCCTCAGAATCACAGTGGGAGGCAAAAGGCACTTCTTACATGGCAGCAGCAAGAGAAAATGAGGAAGAAGCAAAAGCAGAAACCCCTGATAAACCCATCAGATAGTGAGATTTATTCACTATGAGGAGAACAGCACAGGAAAGACCCACCCCCACGATTCAATTACCTCCTCCTAGGTCCCTCCTACAACACGTGGGGATTCTGGGAGATACAATTCAAGTTGAGATTTGGGTGAGGGCACAGCCAAACCATATCAGAAAGGGATGAAGTGACAGCATGTCCTGATGTGTGTGATGGTTTTATGAGTTATGACCTATTTCAAAATTGATTGCAATGTGTGAAAAAGAACAAAGACTTGTACTATCTGACTTTAAGGCTGACCATAAGCTACTATAGACAAGGCATCAGGAGTGACAAATAGATAAATGGACTGAGTTAAGAGACCTGAAACTGATCCATATAGCTATACGGTCAATAAATGGGTTTTCAATGAAAGCAGTTCAATAGAAGAAAATAAACCGTTTCAATTAATGGACTTTCATATGGAGGTAGGGGAGGCCAATGATGTTATTCTCCCTCACTCTACACACAAAAGTAACTTGAGACACATTATAGACCAAAACTTAAAAGTTAAAGATATAAAGCATTTCAAGGATACTTTGTGACTTGTTGGTAGGCAAAGATTTTCAAGGATACTTTTTGACTTGTTGGTAGGCAAAGATTAGCCTACCAACAAGTAGGACACAGAAAATATATATATATATATATATATATATATATATATATATATATGAAAGACATGATAAATTAGACTTCATCAACATTAGCCATACTTTCTCATCAAAAGATACCACTAAGAAAGTGAAAAGGCAAGCAAGCCACAGACAGAGAGAAAGTAGTCACAAAATGTATCTGACCTCCACACCCTGTAATTATTATTACTGTGGTCTGGTACACTGCACCCAGTTTCTGCTGGAGTATTTCCCGGGTGTCTCTAATAAGTAAGAGAGGGCCCCATGGGATATTCCTACAGTTCCCAGATGAACAGTGGGAAAGACTCCACGTTGACCAACCCCGGGGGGCCCGAAAACTCAGGTCCTCAAGGAGGGTAGAGGATACCTGGACCCTGACCCAGACCCCTGGATGGGCTGTGCCAAGAGACCCAGCAAGGGAAAGGATTCCCTCCTGCCTCAGGTTCTGTGTTCTTCTGTGGTTAGACGACCTGAACCCAACTCCCTCCCCAAGCACTGGAGTTGGGGCTTTTCCAAGGGCTGGGGATCTTGCTGTCCTAAGGATAGCTGAGCAAGGGGGTCGAGGAGGAGCTTGGGTAATGGAAGAGGGGAAACCGGGTAAGATGCGTGAAGCGGTTGGCTATACAAGGCACAGACAGGACCTGCTGGGACCCAAGTGCCTTCATGTGAAGCTTGGTCTTGGGCCACCTTGTTCCTCAAAGGGGTGCCTAGTTCCATGGGGTCTTCAAAGGGACTGTGGAAAGAGAGGCCTTCAGCCCACACCTCTGAATGCTTTTCCACCACAGCATGCCCTGTGGCCTGTATCCTGCTGGTGTGGAACAGTCAGACCCCTGCATGGCTGCAGAGCCTCTGTACTGGGTGGCATCCCAGCCTGAGTGCCACAGCTCAGTGGGTAGGCCCCCGAGCAAGTAGAGAGGAGGGCACTTTTTGGACAGAATGTGTGGGACAAGAGCGATGGCTCATCCATTCAGGTTACTCACGAAATGAGAGTCAGGAAGATCAGGGCACAGACCTGATTTCCCACACAGGGCTGAAAGCAGACAACCGGAGGGAGAGCAGCACCTGGGCCAAGGAGGTAGAAGACAGAAGACCACAGTATACTCCTGCCCTCAACCTCAACCCCTCCCACACACATCCTCCACACCCCCTAACCACCTTCCTCAGAAGTGTAATAGGAATCCAGATATTCCCTGGCCTGGTTGCTGCAGGAGGCACAGTGGCCTGGAGGATCCTGAGGCAGTTGTGGGAAGATGTGGATTGTCTAACCGGAGGTTGGGAGTCCAGGGTGCAGAAGGAGAAGCTTGGAGTACAGGGTTTGGTGGTGTGTGTGTGGCAGCAGGCAAAAGAAAGAGACAACTAAGCCACTTGAAATACCATGAGAGATCAAATTTAGAAAATTCCCTGGGACGTATGCATGTAGCCATTCATGAGATCCAGAAAACAGCTGCTGCATAACTGCATGTTGCAAGCAAGCCCTAAGTTGCTGATTTTTAAACAGCCTCATGGGTTCACAAAGGCAATTTCTGAATAGTCTTAACAGCAGAGGTGCACTAAAGCCACTGTGCCCTGCAGCCCAGGATTCCAGTAAGTTCTTTGACCATTTGTGGAAGATTTTTGGAGTTGTCCTTGGTAACCCCCAAGAATGTCTTGGTTAGGAGTAGAATTTTAGATGTCATCATTTTAAAAATTAAAAGTAAAACTGTGGAACTCATAGAGAGATAAAATTAAGAGAATACATTCACTATCCTGATTAGAAAGATTTCTTATAGAACATAACAGGCTTTAAAAATAAAGAAAAAATATGGCAAAATTTCATCAAATTAAATGCTTTGAGAACTAAAATTAAAATCCAAAGCCATCCAACCAACTGGACAGACCCCATCTTGGCCAAGGAGATCCCAGAGAAGTCTTAAATACTGAGTTCCTGACCAGTATTTGGAAGGTCAGACACCTGTCCTTATTCTCTCTCCCTTTTGTGGTTTAGACATAACTGATCGGCATTATTGTTAAAATAGAGATCATAAGACTGACAGAACAGATTCCTTACCATAGTAAGATACTATATTATAAACAAGACCTAAGGCCAAGCCAGGCAAGGTTAAGTCATGCATCCCTCAACTTAAAAAATAAACTATGTTCTAACTGCCATTTTTTTTTTTTCTCTTCTTTCTTTTTTTCTCTAGCTAAGCAAGCACTGGCCTTGAGATAAGCAATGCTGAAGCACTTGCAGCTCACCCATTACCATAAACTGGCTGAGCCCTCCCTACACAAGCCATAACGACAGCTTTGATTGGACAAGAGACTGATTTCAGTAACTTTCTCCTGATAAGAGACCACTGGCTGTGAACTAGTTCTGGACAGTTTACAGAGGCTGTGCACTTGATTGTCTTTGTGTCCCTGCTTCACCTTTTGAAGCATAAGGCCTAATTATAACGTATTTAAATGTTGTCTCCACCCCAAAGTGAACGTGGGTTGCACGTGACAGGCATGTTTACTCAGCATGCATGCAGCAGGATCCCTTCACGAATATTCACAGCTCCTCCTAGTCCCTGTTGAATATATGTGGCCAACCAGATCAATATAAATCCCTATTCTCCCCTCCCCTCCCTGGAAACCTATTTTTCAGGTTTCAGCAGGAGGGTATGCCTCCCAGTCTGGCAGAATGGACGCCTTGCAGGCTGTAACCCTTTATAAAAAATAAAATCTCCTTTCTAAATTTATAAATTGTGTGATTTTTCAGTTGACAGCTTTCAGTTGTCAGTCAAGTCACTGATTGGGAAAAGTCCTTTGCAATATATTTATTTGAAAAATGACTGAATTCCTGAATATATAAGAGAACATTCATAAATCAGTAATATAGAGCTAAGCCAAATAAAATCAGGCAAAATATTCGAATAGGCCTTTGCAAAGGAGAATTTCTTATATGCTGGAAGCCATAAGAAAATATGCTTCATAGTATTGCTCATTAGGCAAGTACAAATTAATTCCACACGGAGACACCACTAACCACTCACCAGTATATGCGTACTTTATTTTATTATAATTTTTTTTCTGAGACAGGGTCTCACTCTGTCACCCAAGCTGGAGTGCAACGGTGCGATTTTGGCTCTCTGCAACCTCCCCCTCCTGAGTAGCTGGGACTACAGGTGCATGCCACCATGCCCGGCTAATTTTTGTATTTTTAGTAGAGATGGGGTGTCATCATGTTGGCCAGACTGGTCTGAGAGCACAGCTACATTTAACAAAGTTAGTACACCAAATGCTGACAAGAATTTGGTGCCACTTCAACTGTCACTGCTGGTGAAAAAACATTCTAGAAGACTGGCAATTTGTACTAATGTTAAACTTATACTCAGGTCATGACCCAGCAATTGAAATACTTCCATGAATCTCAAGTGCACAAAAAGACTGTTACAAGAACATTCATCACAAGAATTCAGTAACACCACAGTTGAGAAGTGATCCATGAAACTACGTGGATGTATCTCATGAGTATAATGAACATAACTGCAGAAAAAAGGCCAGACACAAAAGATATGTCCATTCACTCATGAGAACTTTAAGAACAGGCAATTGTAACCTATGGGAATAGACATCAGAATGGTGATTAACTAAGAGGACACAGGGTGGGAATTGCCTGGCAAGGGGCTCTAACAGGCCTTTCTCAGATGATGGTAATTTTCTAAAACTTGAGCTGGGTGGTGATTATATTTATCAAAATTAAACAAATTGCACTAAAAATTTGTGCACTTTATGTGAACTGTAGTTTATTTACTGTTCGCATTGCTTGAACCCGGGAGACGCAGGTTGCAGTGAGCCGAGATTGAGCCATGGCACTCCAGCCCGGGTGACAGAACAAGACTACGTCTCAAAAATAATAATAATAATAGTAGCAATTTACTGTTCTCATAAAAATTAGTGGATGCGGAATGGAGGCAAGCCGGTGTAGATCATGACAAGTAGTATAGATTTTATTGTAAACTCATGAAAATCTCGTTCTCGTTTTGTGTTTTTAAAAATCCCACTGATACAGCTGTTTTCTCTACCAGAAAATACTATAACCACATTATTTCATCAGTGGAAGCTACAGACAAAGGGCTCTTGAGAGGTGGCATCTTCACCTATGGGAATTTTTTCTGCTCAATTGTGAGACAAAGAGCATGTCCAAGTTTTCCTTTTGGTCAGGCCGCCCCCTAGTTTATGCACAGTGGGCTAAACTCCAGAAGCTGGAGCCCTTCCAGGCCAGTGGTTTACTCTGCTCTCTGGAGGCTGCTAGGATTAAAGGCAAAGCAAATGACAGGTCTATTAGCTACAATCGCAAGATAGAAAACACTGCTGTGACTCAGATTTGAACCCAGGTTGTGGGAACCACAACTACAGGTGTTAACCACTACACGACCACAAGGCCTGCTGACAACCATTGTACTTCTTATCCTTTTTATGTAAAAACACTCATACTATTTTCTCTGCTTTATTCTTGAACGTCTGGAGATTTTCGTGCTTTTCTCTCTTTCATGCGCTTCTCTGTTTCTCTCTCCCCATTCTGCTACATAATTAAAAAAAAAAAAAATCTCATGTCTCAGGATCCGGCCCCTGCCTCTACAACAAGCCTCCTGGGAAGTCTCATTGTCCCATCAACACCTATGCCTTCTTTTACTCCTTTTTTGTTTGTTTGTTTGTTTGTTTGTTTTGACAGACTCGCTGGAGTGCAGTGGCTCACTGCAACCTCCGCCTCCCGGGTTCAAGCGATTCTTCTGCGTCAGCCTCCCAAGTAGCTGGAATAGCAGGTGCATGCCACCACAATCGGCTAATTTTTGTATTTTTAGTAGAGACGGGATTTCACCATGTTAGCCAGGCTGGTCTTGAACTCTTGTCCTGAAGCTATCCATCCGCCTCGGCCTCACAAAGTTCTGGGATTACAGGTGTGAGCCACCCTATCCGGCCAAATTTCAGGCCAACACCTGTTGACGCACATTGCCAGACACACGGAATCCCTCGCGGAACACCGATGGGGCCACAAAACACGCCGGGGCCAAGGTGGCTGACGATTTTAGCAAATTTGGTTCACGGTGTCTGGGGTACAGCCCGGAGGGTCCACTGGCCACCCCCGCGCAAATACCAGTCTCCGCTGCTCCCCTAATCTCTACGCAGATTCTTCCCCACACACCTCCCCTTTCTTTGGGCCGTGGAGGCCTCTTGGACCTCTGACGTGACTACTCCGCCTGCAGCTCCTCTCCTGGGAGCTTCAGGGTAAAGAACTGTGGAGAAGAACAAAAACCTCTTGCATTGGCCGGGAATCGAACCCGGGTCTCCCGCGTGGGAGGCGAGAATTCTACCACTGAACCACCAATGCCTTCCTGTACCAGCTTCCTGGAAGATAGCTGAAAAGAGTATCCAGGAAGACTTAGAAACTTGCAAGCGGCTTTTTCAAGTGTCGACTACAAGCTAACAAAGACATCCAAAGCAAATGTTTTTATAGGAAACTTTTACTAGACAAAGTTATAAATATCAAAATAGCTCATTTGTCGGATCAAACTCTTAACTCTGAAAAAGGTCTTTCTACCTGCATTACAAACCCCTATAAAAAAACATCAGAAATTCATTCATGTTTCTTTTCCCTAATCCTAAATCTTCAATTGTCAACCTCAAACTGCTGCTTTAGTGGTTCTGAGAAGGTAACCTAACTGGTAGTTTAGGTAAGTAAAGTTCTAATTCAGGGAGGAAATAAGAAGCAGAAGCAAAATTAGAATTAGAGGAAAGAGGAAATAAAAGGACAGAATCAAGGTAGAGATAATGAAGAAACAAAGGTTGGTATACTGAGTTAGTCTTTTGTCGCTGTTTTTTCGGCAGAAGAGTAATGATCGGTCTTGTGATCATTATAATACTGTTATTTGTCTGCTTTAAGATGTATAAAGCACTTGAAGGAAATGTGATATAAAAAGATTAATAATGCTTGCAGTCAATATTTCATTGTTATGGAGAATCTAATTTCCTAAGTTAATATGCTTTGATGTATTAGCTATGTAAGGAGTAGACTAGTTTAAGGAAATATTGACAGTCAAAATATTAACATATTAGTCTTTTGATGAAGTTCAAATAGTAGAGAGATTTCTTTCCTCAATTTTCCCTGGAGAGATTAAACTGAAGAGAAAAATCCAGAGTTTGTCCCACATGTTGGGTCTGGGAGTCATTATGACTTTTTCAAAGACAGAAGCTGTGTGTGACATGGAATCGTGCTTCTTCTCTAGCTGAGAGGACAAGCTAGGTCCAGGCTGAGTCATAAACTTGAGCCCAACAAGGAAATCACCCTTCACATTGATCTGGAAGAGCTTTGACCATTCTCTGTTCTTTGCCCAACAC